AAAATAGATTAAAAAATAATTGTGAATAAAAAATAAATTTCATCATTAACGTCATATATAACGCAAAAACTTTTATTATGAATTAATTATGAAAAATTATGGTCAGCCGATTCTCACCGGCGATGTGTTGAACCCGTATTCTCACGTTTTGCACACACCTCGTCCCGTTAGATCATCTTTTCGGTAAACCGTCATCGTCTTCGCAGGCATGCATGGACGAGAATGGATTGGTACCGCGGTGGCGACCTACATATTGAGTCAACTGGTGGAAAAGAATTCGAGCTACACGAAGTTGTTGGGTAATTCGGACTGGATGATTCTGCCGGTTGTGAATCCCGACGGTTACGAGTATAGCCATGTCGGCGACCGTTTTTGGCGGAAAACCAGAAGCAATCACGTGGAAAGCCAAAACGACAGTAGGTGAGGAGAGAAGTCTGAAGATAAGTCTGCCACTTGAACGCCACTTCAATTGTCTCCAGAGTCTTAATTAATCGATTAACGACAGTAATATTTACTCATTATACGTATGATCTCATTATACGTATTTGTCGAGAGCGATATATATTAAGAAAAGTGTTAGAGATTAGATTGCAAACGATAAGATTTCTTTTTTATTTTAAGATAAGGAGATCAAAACTGTCTGGATTAAAAAACATTTTTTTATAATGCCTATTATATAATCAATATTCATACAACGAAAATAATTTTGAGAGCTTCGCGTGTTGTTAAACTGAAACGGTGCGTGATCTTCTTTTCTAGATACACGCCTTCCAATTTATTACAGTTCGTAACACACTATGCCAGATGGTTATGGACTACATGCGAAGGAGTCGATCCGAATCGAAATTTTGCATACCACTGGGGCGAAGAGAAAGAAGGAGGTGCCAGTTCAGATCCCTGCCAGGAAACATATTCCGGGCCTTACGCCTTTTCCGAACCCGAAACGAAGGCCATGGCGGATTACATTATGGCGAACAAGCAACATATTCGGTACGCTTTAAATGTCAAATTAATGCTTAATGAATTTAATTTTATTGTTCGAACGTATTTTATTTTAACTTTTCAATTTTATTAATTAAGATTTTAATTTTTAAGCATTTTCTAATACTATAAATACTAAACTTACGTTTTCAGAATGTACTTGACTCTGCATTCTTATTCGCAAATGTGGCTGGTACCGTGGAGTTACACACGTTCGAAACCGCCGGATTTCTCCGATTTGATGAGTGTAGCGAAAAAGGCAATTAACGCGATCACGAAAGTTCACGGCACTAATTATCAACTTGGACCGTCAGCAGAACTGATGTATCCGACTTCTGGTACGAATTTAATTATGTTACTTAATTCACTTTTAATATACACTTTAAATTGGCTTATATGAAAGATTTAATGCGCTGATTTACAGCTATTACGAAAATCCGATATCAAGATAATTAAGTTGATAGCGAGATTCGACTTCGCAATATGTCACGTCAAGGAGAAAGAACTTTTCTGTTTGCAGGAGCGTCTGACGACTGGGCTAAAGGCGTTGCTTCGATAAAGTATGCGTACACGGTGGAACTACGTGATCGCGGAACGTACGGATTCCTATTACCGGCTAATCAAATAGTTCCGACTGCGCGCGAGATCTGGGCAGGAATCCGGGCGATCGCACGCTTAGTTACCTGCAACACGTGAAATCCACGTTTCGCGCACTTCTGATGCGCACTTAAGCGTCTGAACGTTCTTTCTTCGATCCAGATAATGGAAACTGGATCAATGCCCTTTGTGAATCACAGAAATGTGGGATTTTACGCACACGTCATTTTTGCGCAATTTTGGACATCGATGGACAGGGTACATAGGGCATTCGTACTGAGAAATCAACACTCGTATTGTTATCGAAGAGTTACAAGAGACGAGAGATAAATTTACATGGAATTGGATGCATTATATCATTGTTTTCTGTTATGATATCATTGATTGTCGAGTTACAAT